TCCGATCTCTTCCCTTAACGTATTTCTTATCGCAATTCATCTCCAATTTCGGTCCTACAATTTTCACACTTAATTTTTTGTTGAATTGATCAAAATCATCTCATGTACTAAGATGTCGAGTATACACGTTTGTGGTTTTGCTTGTCTTAATTTCATCATAATTCATTCGAGGTTTTGCACCGTTTCGTAAATGTTCCGGCTTTAACAGAGGAAGCCATGGTGATTTAAGCGACGACAACCAGAAAAATTCTAATTATTATGATTTTTAAAATTTATGTGTGTATATTTTCGTTGTCTGAATTAATTTAAGTTATTTTGTATGATGCATGAAGTAGTGTTGTTTAATTAAAGTCAATTTGAGTTGTGTTAATCTACGATATCGCTAATTAGGTGAAAGTTAATCTAAAATTCATTTACTATCTAAAGGTTTTATTCTCTCTCCCTATTGGAGCTGAAGCGACGATGGTGGTTATGGACAAGGGAGCGACAATGGCTATGGACAAGGGAGCGACAGTGGCTACGGACAGGGCTACGACTATGAACAGGGCTATGGGCACGTAAATGGCAAAGTCGGTGGTCAAAGAAGCAGTAGTTATGATGGTTGATGCCCTTGTTACATTCCTTATGGCTTTCCATGGTCTATATGTCATCTCCATTATTATCTAACTCTCTTTTTTATACAGTTTAATCACTTTAGTTTTTCTCATTCAAAACTCTTAACTACATGATTAAAAAACATATTCAAGTACATCTGGCATCCTTTCAAAAACAAAACATGTGTAAACAGTATATTACTTGTATTAACTAAATAACGCGACAACCAAATTAAATTCAATTGTTTCTAAAAATTACGCATACTACTACTATTTATCATACTATTACTTACACAACTAGAACGCCCATCCATAAGCTCGCTTGGTATCCAAAGGATAGAACTTACATTATGGTTTTAGGGTTCCACAGGATGGGATAAAATGTTGGATTTCCATTAAAGTATACCTAAGATTGAACCAGAGACAAAATTGTTGTTCTGTATCACCTTTGCCTTGTGTGCACTGTAAGGATGACCAGTAATTCTCCAAGAATTCAAAGTCTATCTCATCCAAGCCTCCAACTCCTCAAGAAGAGCGAGGTGAAGAAGAAGACTCTGAAGACGAGTTGGAGGAGCCCGAGATATTCGTCCCTATACCAAGCCACATTTCTGGAGGGATATAGTTTGGGAAGAAGAAGAATACCTTTGGAAACGGAGAAGGCAACTACGAGCAGAGTTATGACCAAGAAACTAACAGCGGAAATGGCTATGGACAACACCGGGAGCCAACAACGATTGCGGCTATGGGAAACACTAGGGAGCTAACAACATCTATGGCTATGGACAACACCGGGGAGCTATCAACGGCAGCTATGGACAACACCAATGAGCTAACAACAGTGGCTATGGCTATGTGCATATTTCAATCAAAGTGGATGATACTAAACATTTGAACTATTTTGTTTGAATAGTACATGCTATTAAAC